GTAGATACTATGTACCAATGTGTACTTACACTGTGGTTACATACTACGTACACATCTAGTTACTATGTAAGTACACAGATATTAGGGCCACTTAATATAAAGTGGGACCAAATTTTATATGCAATTCATATACATAAATCTTAAATGGACATAAATCTTAAATAATATGAATAATAATATGAATTGCCTTTCAAACCCATTTTGCTTCCACAATGTGATGTACACAAGAAAATATGGGCAGCAATTAATCGTTTTGTGAAACATTGGCATTGCATACCAAAATGAAGCCAGACTGAATATGAGTTTGCTAAAATTATGCTTAAATATTGGTCAACATTATCCAATGGCCCATGCGGCCTAGGTGACATCAGTTGTATGTTCCTATATTGTACTAATTTAATTTATACTTACAGACAGCATTTGCTGTGACTCTTGATAAAATGATCAAATGTTCCTCACTTTGTGATATATCAGATGAAGAGCAAGTTATAGTATTTCACAAGCCAAACACTCACAATAAGACGAGGAACGTGTGTGAAAAAATGTAAAAAGGGTCCATTCTGATTTCATGTTGACTTTAACCAAGTTTCCACTTAGTTATGTTAAAGTGCTATAGAGAACGCAAGCTAAACTGACAGGTATGTTAAAGCTGGTTGTGAATACGTTTTAATGAATGGATCTACATCAGCAATGCGCTTTGACAAAGCCTTTGATTTTTAGAGAGTTTATCTTAGAAATGCTGAATGACACTTTTTCAGCCCACCACAAGGACGACCTATTATGTGAGCAGAATGTATTCTGAATTGTGTTTGATGGCTCTAGATGGTCCTAAGCATGTGCTTTAGCTCTCAGCTATGCAAAGAGCGTTTGATCAGTTTTTGTTCAAAGACTATGTTCTTGTGGAATATGTGTGCTGACACTGTCTATATTATTGATAGACACAGTACCAGCACACATATTCCAAAGGCAGATTGTCATTGAACAAAAATGATAAAAGACCAAACACAATTTGAAGTACTATACTTCACATTATGGTCATGTCTCTCCAATAATGTAGTATTTGTCTAATGTGCATTCCAGAAATCCTTGAAACTGTATTAAAAGATATAGTACAGAGTCTGAATATGTCTTTGACTGATCGAGTGCCAGTAGTACAATATGTACAAAACAAGTTTGATTTAGTGACTTTTTAACTGACAGACTTCTTATTTGTAATTTAGTTCTTATGCGCTTTTGTGTTTTTTACACAACACTTTTTTACACTTTTGGCCTCATTCAAAATGTATGTTTCCATCATTCATTCCGCACCGCAATTGCTTAACACACACACACACACACACACACACAAAACTGGCAGTCTAAAACACACACACCTTTGCAGAACTCATCATTCCTTGTTGCTGCTTGTTCGATTTACTTAATTAAAATGAGCTAATACAGAATAATTCTTGAGCATTTATCCTCATTTCCATTATGTTCAGTTCACTTAAATATTTTTATTATCATTTTCATAATCATAAATCATTTTGGTTGACAGCTAAACTGGACAGTGGATTTCTGGTTCCCAGCATGCTTTGTAAAACAATAACATGCTAACATGCAATACTGTTATCTAGTTAACTTTAGGAGATTCATAGAGTTTCTTTGATACATTTAGTTTTTACAGGGGTTTAATTAATTAACTTATGCTTCCAATAGACTGTTTCCAAGAATTTCAGATGATCAAGTTTGTTGGTAACATTTTACAATAAGGTTTTATTTGTTAACATTAGATAACTGCATTAGTTAACATTAACTAACAATTTATCATTGTTAATTTTAACATTTATTAATACATCAGTTAAATCAAAATTTGTGTCTATTTATGTCTTAATATTATTTAGCCTGATGGACCTGAACTAACAACGAACAGATGTATTTTAGTTAACTAACGATTACAAAGAATAATAAATACTGCAACAAGTCAATTGTTTAATGGATTAACTAATAGGACCTTATTGTGTTGCCAGTGTGTTCAATAAAACATTTGTTTAAACTGACTTGCTCTATTCTTGTGGTAAAAAATTTGTGCAATGAACAAAATATTTTTGTTTTAAGTTGTAAA